AAAGACCTCCTACAATATAATACGCTGTTTTAAATGAGTATAAAATATTTAAACAGGTTCACTGTTTAATTCATTAAAAGAATATGTACAGGGGCAGGGCAGATGAGAAACATGCTACCCCCTGTAATTCAAAGGTGATTACACAGTGATATTGTAAAGATAACTGCCTTGGCATATGACAGATCTGAGCCCTCAATATTAAATCCTGCTTTACTGAGAGAAGAGTCAGTGACCTTTAACTTACCCCTGGAGACTCTCTCATGAATGGCTTTGGTTTAAAATAACCATTCTTGCCAAAGAACAATTTTCTTCTTAATGTACAATCTTCAGACCACTCCTCTAGGGAACATCCTGACCTCAGATACTGCACCTGCAAGGTGTGAATCACCAAATGGAAGAGTAGCTCAAGCAGATATCAGAAAGCCACAATTGCTGGGCTCCTATCCCCCACCTTGCTACCAATTTTCTCCATGGCTTTCAGTAAACACAATCTCACTGTGAAGGTTTATGCATCTACAAAAACTGGAGTATATTATGCTTTACCACCCTAAAGAGATAACTAAGTTTAACATTAAAAAGGCCATGTGACATTTTCAGAGGAAAGGTAACGTACCATTGAGTTAGAAGATTTCCAAAACAAAATATAGAACTGTCTGATCAATCTTAGTTGTTCACAGATCACTATTTTACAGGAAGTTTCAACATTGACAGTTTTCTTTCATTTCTCACATCAAAATTACTTTCTTATTATTTCTCTTTACTACAGAATATTTCCTGTCCACTCCACAGATAAGTAGATCTGGTTTATACACACAAATGTGTTAGTAGTAAAGACTGGACTAAGACTTCTACTTAATTTCACACACGACATGGAAAAAAAACCCCAACAACCAATAAACAAAAGAACACATGTAGTAGCAGAATGTTTCCTTCATTAACAAAGGAAAACTTCTATCAACTGCTTGAGAGGAGATATTAAAAATGTCCTGTGTGAGCCGCTTCAGTAGTTTATATTTTATGAACCAACATTACTATTGATGCAGAGTACTTTGTCTACAAAAAGAGTACCTTGTTTTACAAAAATCTGGACCTTGGATAATTTTAAGGATCAAATTTAATGCATGTATAGCTGGGATTTACAAGTGCGTCATTTTGTAATTTCTCTTTGAAGATGAGTCTTACCCATCTTAAGTTGCCAAGTTTTGCATATTTCACATCTTATGAACTCAGTTTGGCTGGAAAAAAAAAGAATGAAGTAATGCTCTGTGCACTCAAAAGGATTAAAATTTGGTATGACTAAAGTGAACAGCAGCTAACAAACTTCTAAAGCATTTCACACTGAAAAGTTCATCTGACTTCATAAAAATTAACTTCTATGAAAAATCAATTGCTTTGAGAGCCCATACAGAAGTATTGTAAAATTTGAGTTCTTCAACACGTAACAGTACAGTTCCCTGCAATTTTTCAAAAAAATCTGACACGCATAAAGTAATTTGAGTGCTTTGAATAAATTAGTTTGATATATCACTAAAGACAAGTAGGAACACAGCCCCAAAAGTGATCAACATCAGTAAAAGATAAACATAGAAAGAAGTCATGTGTTATTTGATCTCCGCTCTTCTCATAATTCCCAAGTTTCACAATTCTCACAGCATCAGTGACCAAGACATTAAAACTGTCATCATATGTGCAGAAAATCCTCTGTTCTCCAAAGTAAAAGATTCTGCTTTGATGTGCAATTCTTTATACATGCCAATTAGGCTTGAACCAAGAGGTACTTCAGATCCAACTAAAACTGCAGGGTTACACAATTCACATCAGTTCCTGGAGTTCACAAATCCAGTAAGAACTCCTTCGGTGAGAATAGGAGAAAAAGGGCTAGGAACTCATTTTGAAATCTATGCCCAGCACATCCTCTGAATTACTTTATTTTTTACATATAAAAAATATTACCATAAAGAAGTCATGGTCAGGAGAAGAGCTGTTCACTAAGCGTAGTATAAAACAAGGCTAACAACTCTAAAAAATTGAGTGGTCAAGGAAAGAGCAGAAGGATCAGTAATGCTCTGCTCAAGGATAGACTACTGCCAAATGACAGCTGCTTGGAAACTGGAGCATAACTCCATAAGAAGAAAGAAGGCAAGGAAAAAAGACAGCTAAGCCAAGTGGTAGAACCTCAACAATCCTCTTGTCACTCATGAAGAATTGCTGCTGGTTAGCAGACACATCACAGATCAAGCCACAGCTATGCAACTGCTAAGCAAGTACGTACTTCCTATTTTTAAGGAAAAAGCAAGAAGCTTAGGAAAAAAAAAATCCACAAAGATAAAAAAAAAAACACTCCCAAAAAACCTTAACAGACAGTTTCTTCAACATAGTAACCTTTCACCCTCCTAAATTCTGTACCATTTAAGGATTTCTGATATTCCAGATAAGCAGCTTCTTTTACTTTGGGAGAATCTTGATTAAACATTTTTCAGCAATCCAAAACAAGATGGGGGAACAAACATTGGAAAGAGGTTAGAAACTACTTTTTAACAGTTAAGTTGCCAAAAATATCACAGCAGGAAGATGTGAATGATTAATGCTTAAGAGGAAATGCTAAACATAATGTTGACAACAACTTCTTACAGCACATTTTTAGCTGCTGAATGAGTTTTTAAAAATACTCAAGAACACTGATTATATAGGTCAATAAATGAGCTATTCTTTTTAGAATTTACAGTCACTGTACTGACTATGAAAACCCATTAACTTTACAAGTCTCCTGAGTGTCTTTAGCTTCACAAATCTAACTTTGTACTATGTTTTAGCCATGTTCCATGCAATTTTTTAAGAAGTACTTCTGGTTAAGTACATCTCAAATTTACTACCTCAAAGAAAAAAAAAAAATTATATGTACTCCAGAAGAACTTACCCAAAATAATTTTCATCATTTCCAAAGACAAAGCATTTTTACATATAACAATTATTTAATCTCATGTTTTCTAGTGCAAATGTCTTTGAAATGGAAAGTAATTAGTGTTTTCACCACAGGAGACAAGATATACCATGTACTTCGATTTCCTCTGTTGAGATCCACTATACAAATCAATAGTGAGCAATATGCAAAAAATTATAATGAATTTTATTACCAAGGATATAATGCTACAAGAATTTAGCAGTCTGATCACACAATTTTACATCCAAGGTTATTTACTCTTCCCATACAATCAAACTTCTGATATGCTAATGCATATTTATATAATAAATCAGTAGAGCTTCATTCAATTGCAAATACATTCCCATATCCTCAACTGAACCAAGTATCTTTATGAAGTTCTTCCATAGTGTTATTGCAGTTGTATAACAGTTACATATTCTGAAATATATAATAAAGACTCACATGGGACTATCACCTACCACGCAACAGACATTTTTAAAGCCTTCAACAACACGAGCTTATATTTTATCCTCACATTCTGAATGCAAGGAATCAGGGTGCATTTAAGACAATCTTTTTGACCACTGGGTGCCACTCTTGTTCTGTGTAAAATAAGCTGCCTAGCACTACCTCAAGTCTTCTCGATCTTTTTTTCTCTTTTCAGCTTTAAACAATTCTGATTCGTCTAAAGTTGGAAGTTGTATGAATTTTTACACAAGTTTCTATCAAACACATACTACTTTCCAGAACCCTTTACTGTTGCTTCTAGCCTCAAGAATGTAATTTTGGGAAAAGTCTAGTACACACAGACCTTTATGGCATATGAAAAATTTTTTTTATGGTGAAGTTAGTACATAACCTAATTATGCTGTACCTAAATCATCACATTCAAAGGAACAGACACCTATTGCAACAGTGTAGCACTGTATCACCATTGCTACTAACAGCTTCATATGGAGTTTGCAAGGCCTCAGGACTGAGACTTTGAGCAAGCTTGTCAGGCTTGCTCTGAGCTTTTCTTGACCTGCCTGAAAACTTTTTTTTACCTTGGTGCAGGTTTAACAGCAATTTTTCTAACTGACCACGTGTCTGTAGCTAACTTGGTTAACTTCTGCTTATCTTTGTATGGTACAACCATAGTTTTATATAGACAGCAGTAACAAGGAGTTATTCCATGCAGAATGGGATATTTATGACTAAAACCATTAAGTATAGCGAAACACTGGCCTGGTATAATAGCAGACACCTTGATAAGTAGAAATACAGGATGTGGCATATAAAAAGTACAGCCACGAGACAACATTCTTAGATTAGATTGTTAATATTTCAGTATACTAACAATTAATTCTTATCTGAATATTTAAGGTGAGTTTCATCCTTGTCCATAAATTCTGAGTGTAACATTATCCTGTGTACTTTATTTATCATATCAAATAACCCCGTATCAAACATCCTTGCAGGCATAGGTATGTTACCACCCTACTGTTTAATACTATTCCTTACGTTTCATAGATAGGAACCTGAGGTACAGCCTAAGAAGTGCTCACAGAAATTAATACAGTATATGGCGGAAATACCAACTCCTCAGTCCAGTTGAAAAAACAAAGAGGTCAGAACAAGGCTACGGTGAACTTCATAATCCCATTATCCACCCCAGCAACCTTTAAAATAGCACAGGTATCTTTCCACTGTATTGTAGCCCCAATGTACTGCAGTCACAGAAGCAAATATTAGACCAAAGAATTCTCTGAAGTCATGTAAAAAGCATGACTGACCAGGGAGATGCACTAAATTATTTACAGTCTCAGGCTAATATCCTAAAGATGCTATCATTATGCCTCCTATCCTTATTAAACAAATGCTAAAATAGAGACTTTCACATTGTACTATTTATTTAATTTGTATTTCAAACAATACAACTATAATCCACTTTTCCACTATCATCTTCTACTTCAACAGATGTCCTTTTCCCACATCCCTCTCATTTCATCCTGCTTCACAAACTGTTCTGACATAAAGAAAAATGCCCTAGATAGTTCCAGCCTATGCATGGCACTCCTGTAAATTCTTAAAATACCTGTATTCAGGCTGCCGACTTATAGGATGATCATCCCTTGGCCATCTGTATCCTGAGTCATCCTGCAAAACATACATGTAAAACAATTGTGTGACATGTGCCTCCACATCAGATGTGAGGTACCGTTAGCTGCCAAATTGCACTTATTTACTGCAAAACTAAAGCAGTTAATGGGCTAAAATAAGGTATTAATCATTTACAGCAAAGTTCCTCTCAGTTTGTTCACTCTACCCAATACCTCTTATTTTCTTCTTCTATTAATAGTAAAGAGAGCAACTTTGGAATGCTGTACATAAAAACTACAAAAATTTCCAAACTATATATATGAGCCCTGACCTAAAAAAAAAAATCAGTTTTCCTCACTGAAATGTAAATTATCACTAGCTTGAAATTACAGAAGTTAAAACAGCTGGGTTGGAAGAGGCAGCAGTAATGACCTTTCAGAGGCATCATAAATTTTGTACTTAAACGTAGTTACTGGTAAAAAAAAAATGCATTCAATATCATGACAGAATTTAAATAAGTGAACAACTGCGTGAATTAGAAGGACAGGTAGACAACATTCAACAAGCTGCATGTGCTTGTTAAATAGATTTTGCAATCCTCCTATTCATAGAGGACTTCTGGCCACTTTTGTTTTCCCAGTTCAGACTGAGCTTTCTAGAGCTGGACAAGGGCCCTTTTCTAAGTCAACAGCATAGCTAGGAACCATAAGCAGCAGCAAACAGGTGTTACCATATAATCATAAGAGTCTTAGAGGCACAGTAACTGTAAAAAAAAAAAAAAAAAAAAGCAATTATCAAAGCCTAGATGTTTTTTTCTATTCATTCCATTTCAGTTTATGAGAACAGCAGTAATAGCAACGTTCTGTTTGAAATAATACTTTAATAGTTCAGTATTCAAGCATTAATAAGAAGATAAACATCATAAACATGCGAGAAGAATCACCTTACGTACACCTCGGTGTGGAGGGCCACTTCTTCGCTCGTGGGCAAAACTGCGTCCCTCTTCGTAGTCCCTGTACTCAGTGTGACTGTAATCATCATACCGACTGTAACTCCCATCCCCAGGTCTTTCAAGCAGTGGTGGTTTCTTGGGCACAATGTTTACTACTCTATGGTAACCATCCTAAACCACAAAATAAATAAAAATCATATTGCTTTTAAAAGCTGGAAATCTGTAGCAAATACACAAAAGTAAAAAACTCAAGTTATTTCTAAATATGAGACTAACTCTTAAAGCTCAAATAGCACAAGGGAACAAGAAATACTAAAAATAATGCCAGTCTGATGGTGGAATAACTTATTCAATCTAATTGGACACCATTCAGATGCAATCCTTAGGTGTTAAAAGTTTAATTACAGGGAGAAAATTTTCAACACGGTTTCTTTTGCAAGTTTAAAGCAGTAGCATTAGCTACTTTCTAAGCATCAGCTACTTGCCTTTTTAAGCATTAGCTACATATATTTCTCAGAGACATTTATATTAACTTAGGAATGCAATAAAGGAAGTCACAGCTGTAGTACCTGTAAAATAAAGAGCCCATTTGAAAATACTATCCATTTTTTTAATGTCAGTAACATCCTCCGCAGTATGGAGATTACAGTGAAGACAGTCCTTGGTTCTTAATCTGAATAAATAAGCGCCCTCTCAAAACAATGCAGTAGGTGATTTGAGGATTCAAGTGACAGAGTTTTAACACTCAGTTTTTCTTTTAACACAAGTTCTGAATAGCTTTTTTGCTACAATGCAAAATTAATTTATTATATTTCTTTCAAATGAATTGGTAAATGGTGCATGACATTTTAAGAAATCCTTTGTTTATTAAGCAGAAATTGCACTCTTGCAAAAGATACAAATTCAAATTTCTGGAACCAAGTATTATATAAGCCAACTGCAAATAAAAAGCAAATAAAAACATGAATGCAAGACCTTGTGTTTTAAGTCTTCTTCCTTTAGCAAGATATTTTTTCTATGGTGCTTAAAAAGATAAGCTATAAATGCATAGACTTGAGTTAGCACGTGCAATTTGGAGGGGGAAGAAAGATATTCAAACTCATTTTTATTAATAGTAGCAAAAGCCACAATCCAACGCACCCACAGTTTTTGTAGGAAATATCACTAAATTCACAATCTGCTAAATATTTATCATGCAAAAAAAAAAAAAAAGCTAGTTCTGATTTCAGAGACCACCCAACAAATTCACTAGAGGGCAATCCAAAGCCAGTTTACAGCCACACTGATGCAAAGTACAGACTACACACACATTCATACACAGTCACAATGCTTGATCTACCCTCACCTCATTGAGCATGCTCCACCTTTTTTTTTTTTTTTTTTTAGTTAGGCATCTTACAAAGATGTACTCTGAAGTGAAAATAAAACTGCTCTCTGCTTTATTCTTACCCAGAAGTCCCCATCATGTAACTATACTGACATTCAGAAGTATGGTTATATCAAAGCTCAAGGTGTACCCACTCACAGTGAATTGTGCCAAGTGCTTACAACTTCATGCTGTTTACCAGGATCTGAAAGCATGTGTTTCTACTACAATCTACACTTGATACCTAATTAGCATCCGGTTTAGGTTAAGAGAAGCCTCTTGCTCTCTAAAACAAGACATACTTCATTTGGTATCATTGGCATGTCTCAGTTCCAACGTATTAAGCTATCAGTAAATGCTAAATATGTTCACAGATTGAATAAATTAAGTCTGTTTTACTTGTCTACTCAGAAGTCACACCTCTGTATGTGGACACAGACGCAATGGAACAGGCCTACAAGGACAGAAACTGCCTGTCAAATATCTTGACCTGGCAGAGCTGACAGAAAGAGCTTCATATCCATTTTTCAGTAAGGCAGACAGACACTGGACCCTGGTTCGCTCAACTACTGGGGGTGTTGTTTTATCATAGAATGGTTTGCATTGAAAGAGACCTTAAAAATCATCTAGTCCCAATGCCCCTGCCACGGACACCTTCCACCAGACCAGGTTGCTCAAAGCCCCATTCAACCTGGCCTTGAACACTTTCAGGGAAGGGGCATCAACAGCTTCTCTGGGTCACTACACTCCCTAATAAAGAATCCCTCCCCATCCTTCCTGTAGCCCCCTTTAAGTACTAGAAGGCCACTTGAGGTCTCCCTGGAGCCTTCTTTTCTCCAGGCTGAACAACCTCAACTCTCTCAGCCTGTCCTCGTGAGGGAGGTGCTCCAGCCCCCTCTGATCATCATCATGGCCTCCTCTGGACCAACTCCAACAGGTCCATCTCTTTTTTATGTTGGGGGCCCCAGAGCTGAACGCAGCACTCCGGATGGGCTCTCACCAAAGCACAGGAGGAGAATCTCCTTCCTTGACCTGCTGGCCACACTTCTCTTGATGCAGCCCAGGATACGGTTGGCTTTCTGGGCTGTGAGCACACATTGCTGGCTCACAGTCAGTTTTCCATCCGCTAATACCCCCAAGTCCTTCTCTGCAGGGCTGCTCTCAATCCACTCATTGCCCAGCCTGTATTTGTGCTTGGGATTGCCCTGACCCATGTGCAGGGCCTTGCACTTGGCCTTGTTGAACTTCGTAAGGTTTGCATGGGCCCACCTCTCAAGCCCGTCAAGGTCCCTCTGGATGGCATCCCTTCCCTCCAGTGTGTCAACTGCACCACACAGCTTGGTGTTGTTGGCAAACTTGCAGAGGGTGAACTCAATCCCACTGTCCATGTCACTGACAAAGATGTTAAACAGCACCGGTCCCAGCACCGGCCCCTGAGGAACATTACTTGTCAGTGCTTTCCACTCAGACATCAAGCTGGTGACCACAACTCTGAGTGTGACCATCCAGCCAATTCCATATACAATCAGTGGTCCATCCATCAAATCCATGTCTCTCCAATTTAGAGACAAGGATGTCATACGGGACAGTGTCAAATGCTTTGCACAATTCCAGGCAGATGACATCAGTTGCTCTTCCTTTATCCACCAGCACTGTAACACTGTTGTAAAAGGCCACCAAACTCATCAGGCACAGTTTGGCCTCAATGAAGCCATGTTGGCTGTCACCAATCACCATGTGCCCTGGCATAGTTTCCAGGAGGACCTGCTCCAAGGTCTCACTGGGCACAAAGGTGAGACTGACTGGCCTGTAGTTCCCCCAGTCTTCCTTTTTTCCCTCTTTAAAAATGGGGATTATATTCCCCCTTTTCTAGTCAGCAGGAATTTCACTGGACTACTACAACTTTCCAAATATGATGGCTAATGGCTTAGCCACTTCATCCACCAGCTCCCTCAGGACCACAGTTTTGCTGCAGATTGATAATACTGATTATGAGCAGTGTACTCTAGTTACTCTATGCCCAGTTCCAAACACATGTAATATAAAGCTATCAATGAACTATCTAGTTACTTCTTGCATTGAAATGAGTATATCACATCTTTTAAATTGTTAAGTAAATTTTCATAATGCATATGCCCTGCATTGTTCCTGGGCAGCTTGAAAGATGACTAAAAGAATTTTGGAATGTCACTGTTACAATTCTTGAATTAAATTAGCATTGTGTTAGTCAAGTCAGGCACTGATTGAAAGAAGAAAAAAAATTCTGTGAAAATACATTCTGCATTTTCTCATGTCCTATTGTTAATAAATATTTGGGAGAAGCAGCTGACTAAATACCCTATGCAAACTTATCTTATGTCCAGTTTGCTGAAAAAGCAGAAATTTTGTTGTTACCTGTAAAGAGAGTTAAAAATATCACAGAGCAGCCAAACGCTAATACACTACTCAATAGAGAAGACTATGTAACTAGTTACCAAGTTACCAACACTGGTACACTTCCAAAACAAGCTGGAAATATGGTAGAGAGAGCCCAGAACGTACACTAGATCTGCTAGGCTTTTATTCCAACATTTAAAAGAATTAAGAGAAAAGCCAGGTAACAGGCATAGGTATCTGAAAATTTATTTTGTCATATGGACATTGCATAGCATGTAAATAGAAATATCAAAAAATTCTTAAAGTTATATTTAAGGTGTAATAGCTCAAAAGACAAAGCTACAACCTGTTTTCTTTCTTCTTTAGAGATTTCAGAGATAAGTAAAAAAATGAATGATTTTACCCAACTCTTTGGCACAGAGATTTTTCTAAAAGCATTCTAAAGTTATTCTACAGCAGAGTAAGCATAGCATCTGCATTTGCTTTTGCAAGCATAACATACAGTAGAAGTCTCCATCCCTACAAAGTAGAATTCCAATTGACACTCTTCTTGATATGCATTTCCCTTAAAAGGCTCTAAAACACAATTTCTTTAGCAAAGATGTATATTCAGCATTTGTTATAAACACTTCCTTCTATACTTTCAGCATCATAATAAAAAAACTGCATCACTGACAAGAATACTGAAAGGAGTCATTTTACCACCTCAAATCACTTCAAAGATGTATTAACAAAAAAAGAGTCAGGAAAAATACAACAAAATACAACCCTTTGGTTATCCAGGATTTTGTAAAAATCCTGTAATAACAAATATTTACACCAGAAAACCTTACATTAAATCAAAATACAAATATTCTAACACACTTTTAATATATCAAAAAAAAAGTTTAATTTTGTAGGCCTCCCATTATCTCTGTGCAGATGCATTTCATAGATTCTTGGCTTAAATGAGCAAGAATGGAACTTGGAGTATACTAGGAACTTAAGTGTGTCCATAAATCCAGCCCTTATGGTACAAGTCATGGTATACAGGCATAGTATAATGGTATAATGCTAAAGAAACATACTATACACTTACATCAGGATGAATCCTTGGAGGGAGGCGTTCTCTTGGAACTCTTTCATAGTCATATCGTCCTTCAGACCACATCTCATCCCTTCGATATGCCACTAAAGATAATAAAAATCCAATTAGCCCAAACCAGACTCATTATGAATAGACAACCATAGAAATAAAGGTTCCTGGACTTCTCCCAATATAATGTATTATGCACAAGCCCTGTATATAGATTTACTTTTAAAATAGCTAATTAAAGTGTATCTAGTTATAGAAAGTAATTAATGAACTTCAAGCAAAAATAACTCCCAGTATGTGCAAGAACAACTGAAAAACTGGAAATTAGTGCAATATCTTCAGTATAATTACAGGACTTACAGATACTATAAACAGCTCAAATTAAATATATGCTTATTGAAAATACCAGCTGCATATATAAATTCATATACACATACCTTACAGCAATTTTTGTTATTGCTCTGCTAAAATAGAGGACTTTCTTTAAAAAAAGAGTTCAACTCCTACTTAATACATTGAAAACTTTCACTTTTTCAACAGAATATAACAACTTTGAATTATTTCATCATCTCAACCATCTGGAAAGAGGTCAAAACACAATACATCATTCAGTTAGTACAAAGCTCTGTGTTTTTAAATACATGAATGAAAGGCATTCTTTACATGCAGATTTTTCCTATTTCAAACTGGCAGCCAGCAGAACACAAACTCCTCTTCCCAGGGACAGGTGACTTTCAATGTCAAAATTAGTAACTAAATGCTGGTGGAAATAAACCCCCCAACATAGGAGATTCTAGTCATGCTGTGTTAGACAACACAAACTTGAGGAGCTGCAAACCTTTTTGATGATTATAAAGGTGACAAATTATGTATCATACATAGTTGAAAGTAGATAAGAAACAGCTAGAATTATGTTTTTAAAAGTTTCCCTTCACAGTGGTAGTTCTAGCTATTAAAAATAATCAATAAAAGAAACAGCAGGACATATTTAGAAGGAGAAATATATAATATCACCTACTTTCACAAACACTTAACTGGAAATAGACTTATGAGGCTATATAAAAATATTGATTATTACAGATGTTAGGAATCAACATGACAAAAGGGTTTATTAACTGTAAAGAGAGGTAGCACTAAGTCAGATATATATTTTTGTGAAAAACAACAAACACTCGCATACTTACTTTTCTGTCGGTTTTAGCAGCTCTGCTTCTGAAGATCCATTCAATTACCTACAAAAAAAGAAAACTGAAGTTAGCAAAAAATGCATATATACTCATAAATGGGTTTTCTTCTTTTAAGAAACCAGACATTTAAAACAAACACTTTGATCGCCCGTCCCCCATGATTTGTCTGAATTAGTACAGAGTAATTCACTACACTCAAGAAAGAATGAACTACTCGGCTGAATTCGCAATATCAAAAAACTTCCTATGACAAATTATTACAGACACAACACTTTCCTAATAAATTCCAGAGTTTTCTTTCCCTTTTATCATATTTTACTCACTATCTCAAGTCTCAGTTTTTCTTCCATTTGTTAGCAAAAGCTTTTGGAAACTACTGTAACTGCTTTCTTAAAAATACTCAGAAAAATATTTAATATATTCACTTAACTTGTATTTATTTCACTGTTTTTCTGTATCACTAAGTACAGAAAAGTAAGGCTCAGTTGCATATGACTGAAGGTTAATGAAAAGTTTAACAAATGCTATTCCTTTTGTAATAGCTAGTAAATCCTGATGAAGCAGCTCTTTCCTCAACTGTAATAAGCCTTTATGTTCAGAGATTTTGATCCTACCATTGCTACAAATGAACCAGAGCATCTTCTTAAATCACTTGCATTTTCTAACAAACTTGACTTTAAGTACATTCCATAACCAAGACACAGGACTAGTTTGATGTAGCCACAGATTACAATCAAAGGCTGACTAAACCAACAGAGTTTGGTTGGTCCTGGTTTTGGTAAGGGCAAGAGCCAGAGGGTTTGCTGTCCCTGCCCTCTCCAGTGTGCTCCATGTGACAGCCACTAATTCTGAAACCACTGCTCATATTGCTGCATTTGTTAGTCAGGTGCATCCATCAGGAGCACCTTCCTGGCATTTTCTGAGTAACCACCCCAGCTTTTTCTCATTCGCCACTTCAGGAACTTTTGCTAAACCCTTCAAAATTGTCACCAGGGGCTACAGGTGCATTAACTGTTCTCAGGTGGACCCTAGGCCCTCTCTGTCCCACATCACCAGGAGGGTGCTCTATCTGCTCTCACACTGTCCCCACAATCCTTTTTGCTGTGTACCTAAAGCCATACCTGAATACTCCTGTGTTTTACATGTACCGGGAGGGACAGAATTAGCTGAGGCAAGGCAAAGTCATTACACTGCAACAGCATCATACTGCTCTTTCTCAAAACACTTTGCTGCTGGTTCCTCAGGCCCAGCCCTTGCCCCAGGGTGAACCATTCCTTCTGACCACACTGCCCCAGCCTCCCGCTTCATCTGCTCCCGGCCCTGCTCCTCCACAGCCCACAGACTCAGCAACCCCAAGGCGAGCCTCACTCAGTTTTCAGACCAACAGCAAATATCAGAAGCTGGATTCAGACAAGGTTTTCAAGTGGGGTTTTCTGGCATTTTGACAAATACAGTAGTGTCCATGCCCCGCTGCCTACAGCAGTTACTGTGTTCAGTTAACAATTTCAATGTTCAAAAAGCAACGCATTTCAGGTAAGTGCCACCAAAGGTAAGTGCCAGCTTACACTTCATGCTGCTCTATCAGTCAAACCACCCTCAACATCCCAACACACGTCGCTGGCAGCGGGCACCGACATGCACATGCACGCTCTGTTATAGTATCATGCAGCAAGGCTGACAAAAACACTCCCATTTTTATCACTGCTGATGGACCTCAATGAAACTAGCAAGAATTATCACTAGTATTTTGACAGAGTAAAAATACAAGCTGGAAAAATGGTAGAGATACACTACCATAAAAGTCAACAGACTGAAGAAAAAAAATACACACAATTACATCAGACTAGAAGGAAGTATGGAGGTGAAAGAAAAACATCTCAAAAGCAAGAATATTTTGCATTTAGAGGAAATGAAATGAAGAAAATTAATCAGACAGAATCAACCTTCAAGGACACTGCTCAAAAAGCTGGTAAGGAAAAAGTAGTATGATGAGACCAATTTTATATAGAAGACTAAACAGACAAATTTTAGCTGGTACCAATGAGATAAAGTAAGAATGCATTTGAAAATACCAGAAGAAAAAACTAAAAATGTTTAAAGGGAGGAAAATGCATTTCCCTGCCTCTTGAGCAGATTTCATCTGTTTCTGCAAAAAAAAAAAAAAATTCCATTTCTTAAATGATGTGACCTAGTACAGCTTACAACCACAAAGAGACTAACCTCTTAGAATCAATATGATAAGATTCCATTAACAAGAATTAATGAAATCAAACCTCAATTTTACTATGCTGTATTCAGATTCATCTGTTCTGTCAGTACAAAGCTGTTCTAAAACAAAGATTTAAAAAAAATATATATTTTTGTTTCACAGGTAACACCATTGTCACTCATATTGACTATTTTCTAGCAGCACATATAGTAGAGGTAGTTGGTATATTCCTTAAATATCATTATATATAATCACTTGCTATATTAATTTAAACAACCTCTTCCTATTTTTGATCAGAGGTGACTGTTTTCCCTAAAGCAAAGTCTTTATTTTCTTAAATAAAGACACTCCAGTGTATGCAGAAGCCATTCTATTAACACAGTGCAAGCTGCTCCACTGTGGCCAGCTGCCAAGAATGGCTTTGCTCCGATTATCACAGCACTATGTCTTGCTCTATGCTAATATAACTGATGTAATACAAAGAGGGTTTCTTCATCAAGCAGATGACATGGGTCACTTAAACTTTAGATTTTTTGCACAACTGTGTTGCCTTTATCAATTTTTTTTTCTTTCTAACTAATATATGCTAAAAAAAAAAAAAAAAAACAACCAAAAACCGACACATTTGCAAAAGCATTCCAGTATTCTGCAATATTTTATACACAATTCTTGTCTGTTTACACTTACTTGAGACATCAATTTTCATCACTACTAGAAATATCTACTTCTCCAGGATTCATAATTTTCCAGTACGTGCTATCAATCTTCTGCAGAATCTACATTTTTGTTTCAAAAACATACAGCTTTTTAATCCAGATGGCTTCATCTTGCCATATGCAAATAGATCATAAAACCAATGCTGTGCTGTAAATGCAGATGCAGGCAGCTGCAATATCTCTGGTACTACTGGGGTATATCTGGTTTTATACTGTTACTTTGACAAACAGCACAGATTGACAAATGTGGGCCAGTTCTACCTCTCCTCCACTTTGAAAAGCTCTCAAAAAAAGCTTAGATGCTTTTGTATGAGTAAGACCTAGGAGAGAAACTTAGAGAATTGAAACTTATTAGAAATACGCTGGCCAATTTTGCAACAATTGATGCTTTGAGGACATCAAGACAGACAGAAAACACCGCTTTTTCTTCCAACAATCAGAATGGGTATTTGACAGTGCTTCAAAGATATCCCAGTACCTCTTACCTAGACAGGAGGCAAGACAAATAAAACTGAGTTTGGCGGGGAAAAAAAGTAACTTTCTCCTCCTCCCCCCATACTTAGGACAGGCAGAAAACACTGAATAGACATTGTCCTCTATTGGTAAGATGAAAAAGCAGGATTGTAAGAGCAGATGAAAAAATACACCACAACAGTACATACAATACTGAAGGAGGCATCAAGAAAAAACAGGAATGAAAAGAGAATCCATCTCTTTCTAATAACATATATTAAGCTACAAGATTTTTAAAAGCAATTAGAAGCATGACTGCAACAAGTCTAGGCATATTCAACCTAGGTAACCAATAACCTGAAGGAAGAAGCTTTCTTCCATTCTTTCCTGATCTGTCCACAATAATTTTGACTTAAGGTAAGAAAGAAATAGTTAAAAAAGCCTTGACCACAGAAGTCAAACTAACACCCACCTCGAAGGCAAAAGAAGGAAAAAGGCAGAAATGTGTAAACCGAATGAAATTATTAACAGCTGCAGCATTCTGATGAGGATTTACAATCCCACTGGTTCAGTTTTCTTACCACATCATTCTAATATATCACTGGAAGTTAAGAGAAATGGACACAATGTGTTGGGGGTTATATTAATACAATGATTGATGTATTAGTGCTTATCTTTGCCTCAACACCTGCAGTTACCAACATCCCATCCTCTATCAGTGTCAATGCTACAAAAAGAATATTCCACCAGGCTGCAGTGGGGCTGCTACACTAGCAACATCAATGCAAACAACTATACGGATCATCACCTCCACTGTGACTTTCTGTCTTGCAGCACAAACATTTTGATAACAAAATATGTCAGCTCACTATACTGTTGTCATAACAGGTCAAAACTACAGTGCTTTCAACATTTACACTTGAAAGTACCAACCAAGTCTGAGTATTTCACCCAGGGCAAATCACTATATCAAACTCTACTCATTGCTTGCACAGATTCTATGGGTTTCCACATCTTTTTGTGTATTTCTGACAGAGTCTTTGTTCCGTGGAAGTCCTAGACGCATCAGATAAAGAATTACAACGACTATCCATGAAAACGAATGCATGGTAAAGCACTTGCTTAATAAGTATGAGTAAGAAAAAAGAACCATGGAAAGTGGACTTATTTTCAAGTGTTTAAATACTAATAAAGGCTTTAAATATACTACAGGACACCCTATTGTTAAGGTAAGCACCAAGATTTATTCTAGTACTTCTAAGGAAATCAGCTAAGCGACACACTCATGTCTTATTTAGTCCTCTAGAAACAGAAGGATACTGATGCTGCACTATTATACCCACGAGCCGCCTCACTGAAAGTATTTACAGAGGCACGGATACAGCCCCCAAACATTCATTATTAAAGTTTAACATAACATACTTGCTCAGAATCACGAGCAAGTAGTTGCGTCCTTCCCCCCAGAACAAAACCACGTACTGAGCTGACAGTCAAAATCTTCTATCACGCACGGGTTCTAAAGGAAGATGAAGAGAGGTTTACAGAAGCCATCCTCGGCGGGGAGCGAGCAGCCGCCCGCCCGGAGGAGGCTATCCTTCCCGCCCCTCCTCTCCCGCCGCTGCCATTCACCCCAACAACTTCCGAGAAACGCGGGGAAGCAAAGGGGGACCCCCACCCACGACACGGGCTCCCCGCACGTGCGGGAAGCGGGGCGGAAGGGGCGGGTATCCCGCTCCCACGGCCCCGCGGGGGTGCCGTCTGCCTGGACGGGCTTCACGAGCGCTTCGGCGACCGCCCGAGCGAGCACCGGCGGGGCGGGAAGGCAGGTCCCCTTCCCCACCCCCTCCCCGCGCCCCGCCGGGCAGCTGGGCGGCAAACCGCGGCCCGAAGCGGCGATCCACGCGATCGGCGCCGACACGACAGTCACGATCGCCCCGCAGGAGGCCGGACAGCCAGCTCCGCAGCGGCCTCCGCGGGCACAGACAGACAGACAGACAGACAGACAGACAGACAGACAGACAGACAGACAGACAGACAGACAGACAGACAGACAGACAGACAGACAGACAGACAGACAGACAGACAGACAGACAGACCGCCGCTCACCCGCCTCCCTCTCTCTGTCCCGAAGCGCGGCAGCCAGCTCCCTCGGAGGCGGCAATAGCCGCCACGCCTCTTTCCGGCGCTCCACCAGACGTCATCAAGAACACCCGCTTTCCTTCTCCCATCCCCACCGTCCTATTGGCCGGGAAGCGCTGGCGTCAGCGGAAGAGCGCCGCCGCGCCGGGCGGGCGGTTGGAGCCGGGGGGGTGGGTGAGGCGGGGGGTATCCGCGCCCCGCCCCGGTGTCGCGCCGCATCATGGCCGCCCGCGGGGGGTGATCCCCGCCGTGACGGGTAGGGCCGGGGCGCGGGTGGGCTCGGGGGCAGGTTTCAGCCGGGGGGGGGGGTTGCGGCTCGCCGCGCTTCTGGCTTTTGCGGTCTTGAGTGGGGGTGGGGGGGGTTGGGTTTCAGCGGCGGCACGGCACGGCACGGCACGGCGGGGCGGCCGGGGAGGTGGTCCCGAAACCGGCAGCCGGTCGGGTAGGGGCCGGCGGGAGCCTCCGGGTGGACTGTAGGTGCCTTGTCTGAACATCGGCGTGGGCGTGCGGAGCTCTGAAGTGGAACTGCTCGCTTCGGCGTGGGGGGGGGGGGGGTGTGGGGTTAGGAGCAAGGGGCGTCACTGAGCGAATTACCTGCGTTTGCCCGTCCTGGGTGAGGTTCTGGGTGAGACTTAAAGTGCCGGAATCAAGCAGCTCTTCTCCCGTTTTGACTGTTCTAGAAATGCATTAAAAACAAACAAGCAAACAAACAAACAACAAACTATTGTTAAAGTTCTTCATGTAGTTCCGGCTGGCGGCCTGGTTGCTCAGTCTTATTGTCCTAAAGCTGCTGTAGTTGGGTTAGTACATAAGAGTAGTTTGATTCAGACCATGGATCCTTTTCGCGTACATTTTTGGCTTGAGCAGATGGAAAAACTCTTGCACTCTTCCTGCCAGTAGCGTCAAGTTTATTTACCTAATTCTGATCCTATTTAATATTTGCTTTGTAATGTTTAAGCAACTGTGTGGAGATAAAACAGATTCTGCTCTGACAGCTTATTACATGCCCCTTGTGTAGGACAGAGTTGTAGTAAGTGGTTAGTACTCTTGGACTGTTAAATTAGAAATAAGTTAAGGTGTTTTAAGGATCGAGATAGAAGAACTCAAATGAGTTGACCTGAGTGAGCCTGTCTTGAATACCTTACCCATAAATTGTTTATACGTACTGTAATTGATTAAATCACAAATCAGGCCTTGCTGCTGTGCACTTAAATACAAACACACACAAAAGCTTGTGCTTAAATTGAAATGTCGATGTTAAGTCATGAAAATATCAGTAAATTCAGACTCCACTTCAGATGCATCTGAACTATTTTGGTGGTGTCATGACGTGTTCTGGGACAGAATAGAAAAGCCAATTATTGAAATTAATCATTGTCATCTCTTACAATGTTCTCAACATGAGTGACAGATGTTGCATTAAACATATTGGATTCAAGCAAAACATACTCGTGTACCCAATATATTTTGCGGGAAACTTAATCATTACTGACAGATGGCTCTTGTCAAAGAATGGCTTCTTTTAGTTTGAGATGTTGGAAAAGACAAAAAAGATTGAATTCAGGAGGTCACAGTAATGAAGGACAACTCCATCCTGAAAGTTAATATGTGAAAATGATAAATGAAGAAGGCATTAATATTACAGAGAGGCTATTACATTAATGGGAGTCGTGCTCAACCCCATGGAGATAATGTACTAGCCTCCAGCTGATGGTTTAAAGTAAGTCACCGGGTAATACCTTGAAGATCAGGGAAGCTCCATAAAAGCATTCGGTATAGAACAGAAATGTTTGGTTTATTGGGGAGATCTAGCAGGATATAGAATCCAGGTTGTAAATGACTCTCAAGGTGAGTCCCCGGCAGCAAGTGGAAGGCTCAGGTGTTTTAGGGAAAATAAAAAAAAAAAAAAGTTCTTGAAGTAAAAGGACTCAGTGCCTTGTAATGATAAGCCTCCAGATGTGATGTCTCATCTAGAGAGTTAGCTTAAAGCTGGAATTGGCTTTTTTTGCCACACTCACCACCCTAGCTAGAAAGCATCAGACCAATAAACGTGAAGCTGGTGCGGCAAGGTTGGCATCCATAAATGAAGCGGGGGGGTGGGAGAAGCTGGTGTTTATATGGTGTTGGCACTTGGTATCCCCGTAGGGGCTTCATGGTGGTTTTAAAAGCAAAACAAAACAATGATTAATGGATTGGTTATAATACAGTTAAAATTGACACATGGTGTTTTGTTAAGGTTTATTGGGGTGGGAAGAATTGTGCCAGTAGTTGGATCTAAAACTGCATTTATACCACTGTATTCACAACAGATAATGAGAAATCGGTGCTTTAACATGTTCAAGCTTCTTGAGAGATTGCTTTTGGTAGAATATTATTTTTGAATGTTCTGCAGAAGACTTAGTAAGGGTGACCAGGCCTTTAAGTAGATAGATGAATGGCCCAAATGTTGCTGTTGTGCAAGCCTGTCTAGTGTATCTGCGGGCTTAAATAAGGTGTTTAGAAACTATCCCAATGACCCCTTCGTATTTAGAAGAGGAAGTCGTCCTGCCGATCGGGGGAAATATTCTTTCCAGGAATGGTAAATTTGAACCTTTGCCATCTTGAATATGAGCACAGTGATAGTCTTACAGTTACTGTACTTCCTCTTTTATTAAATTGTGCCTGTCTGGCAAGTCAGACATTAAAAGTAAGAAATCCTGGCATAGTAGTCCTAAACAATTCAAATTGCTAAGAATATTTGGCCAGTCACAGCAGGAAGACTGTTTCACTTAAATTTGTTGAGAAGACTAGAAACAAAGCTCAATCTCAGATGTCTGGCAGCCAGCGCTCCAGGGTGTAACTCTTTCAGCTTGCTTCTGGAAAAAAATAGTATACAGCTGAAAATGACAGTTCTGTAGCTTGCAGTCATTAATAATTTCCTGTCAAATGAGCTATTAGGCCTGTAGTAATCTTCATATGACGCATCGCCTTCTTTTCAGAGGTTTGCACTGGGGTGTTGCGGAATACGTAAGCTGAGTGCTCTCCAGTCATGCCATCCTTGCTGGTGCCTGTTTATTAATATGGGGCCTGCGTGGTCTCCTGTTACAAGGTGCTTCAGCTTCTCTTGTCTTTTAGGCACAGTTAAATTCTTTTCTACAGCCAAGTGAGGTTCACCTCTGCTGTTTTCTCCTCCACTGTTGCAATATATTAGCATTGGCAACATATCGTAATGAAGCGCTAAGGTAGCTCTTCCCAAATCCTTTCTACCCATTGTACATCTGGATAACTGAACTTCAGGCCATCTATTTGCGTGGCATGTTGCCAAGTCAGGCTGGTTATGCTTGTCAGGGATACTCATGCCAAGCAGCAAGGAATTTGGGATAATGAATCCAGTCTGCGTAACACCAGATGCAATGTGTGGCCTTTATTGCAAATTTATTCTGTTTTCATTTGCTTAACCTTTATGTTGCCATTTCTGTTCATGCCAAAAAACAGTCTCTGAACATGAAAAACCTAAAAATTCAATCACTTGGAAACTGCCACTCAAATGATTTGTGATACAGTAAGCACATCAGGAAAGAGAAGCAAAACACCTGGATAATCAGTCTCCTCTGGGAATATCAGGTCCTCAGATGACTGAATCATGAAATGCCAGAAAATGACCACAGCCGAATTAGAGTGTGATATTAGTTGCTTTGTTGGCACTTGACCAAGCAATCTGCTCAGAATCACTACCCAAAAAGTCTCCTAAGAAACTCTACTTTAACGGATGTTGATTTTTAATACTTTAGTTTCTTTTATCCCTTCATCGTTTTTTGTCTGCATTTTTAAAATGAGTTGGTCTTGCTGAAGAAATGGCTTGGTCCTCAATTAGGAATTGGCTGGAGGTGCCAAGAAACAGGAATAAGGCTCTAGGAAACTGGATAAGGAGGTAGTAATTGGACTGTTTAGGGTATGGTTTTGCTGTACTATTTGGTGTGCCCTCTCATAAAGGCTGTGCTTTATTCTGAAATTGTTTTACTTGCTTAGCTCTTGGACCGAGCCATGGCTACTGAATAGATGAAAGGGAAGAAGCATTTTGCACAGACTTTAGCACCACTTAAAATTTTGGCAAATGTCCGAACATGAGGAAAAATATAAGCTGTTCTTTTTCAAGTTAGTTCAGTTACTCTTCACCTAGTATTAGATGGTATGTATGCAGTTTTAACAGTAATTTTGAATTGACTCCAGACATACTTAGTTACAAGAGCTTGAAAGATACTGGCAATTAAAATGGCTTTGAGATTTTCCTGGTTCCTGCCAGTACAGAGCTGCTTCATCAGGAAGAGGAGGAGGAGTGCCTCTAGGGGAGATGCTGTCTATGATCAGCTCTGGACACTTGCAGTGTAAAGATCTGAGCAATACCCACAAGAGGAAATGCTTGCTCCTTTAGCATCCTGGATTCATTTTAAAGTCAATGTAGTATCCCACCCCACACACCCCCAATAATTAAGACTCTGCTTTAGGGAAGTGGGGTTTTTCCTCATAACAAAATGTGGTTTATTCTATGTTGAATGCAGCTGAGCTGAAACTTGTATAAAGAATCAGATCACGCAGGTACTTGAACAAAGGTCAATCATTTCATATCTTGGCCGTAATGTTTAATAAATGGACATTACTTGTTTCTTTCTCAACCTAAACCTTTCCTTGCTGCACAAATCAGTAGAGGTTTATTTTAAGGATACTAGCTGGTCTGTTCTTTTGTGACTTAGAAATTGATATGCATACAGCAAAAATATGTTTTGGATCCAGGGGAGGAGGAAGGAATGTATATCTTCTGTAGCATGTGAAGGCAAACACTAATTTCGTGTAAAATGATGAAAGAGAAATGAAATCTATGCTTTCCTGCAACTTTATAATGACTGTCTGGGCTAGATTTGAAAAAACAACTTTAAAAAAAGTCTTGCAACTGTTTTTTAATCGATTTCTCTGTTAAATAGAGTTTAACTCTTCTCTCTTCTTACTTT